CCCTGAAACCCCCACTAAGCCATTGCACGCCTGAGTGCATGCATTGCCATGCGCATAAGTGGTCTTTACCACTGCCTTCCCGCCTAAGCTGCAAGCCCCGCGGCCCGTTCCATCCTCCTCGCCCGGTTCAAGCCTGCCCGCATGCACCCCCTCCACATGCGTGCATGCAGTCCCAATGCGGCACGCCACAACCGCCTGCTTACCCGCTAGCTGGTCAAGCTCCGATCCCTGCATGCAAGACTCCCCCCGCGCCACTGCGCGGCTGCGAGGGTGGCTCCTTTTGGAACCAGATCGGCCCTTCTTTCACCGCTGCGAGGCACGCCCTTGTCAATGAGCCAGCGACCTACGGGTTACTCCGGTTACTGCAGCTGCGTACGATAAGTTTAGACCCGGATTAGATGAGCAAATTCAGAACGACATGTCATCAGCATTAGCATTACATTCTGATACATCAGATGGTGCAAGCAAACATCCGTGCACCGAACACGTGTTGTAATCTACCTTGGGCACAACGCTCAGGCAGCGCTTTGGCCCATGAGGGGTAATAGAACGCAATCCCTCAGAGCCTCTAGACTTCACGAAGTGTACAAGGACACATTGCCGGTTTCCACCGTATGGCAAGTTCACGACCACAACACCACCACCACCCGCTACAACCCTCACATGACACCGCCGGGACCTCCCGCACGCATGTCAGGGCGCTAGGATTCGCCCATCCATCCATTGATTGTAATAAGAAAACGGTTTTTCCCATTGTCGAAACGGGACACCACAAAACACCGCAAACAAGCCACCAGCAACAGATACGCCTTGGAGCATCTGTCCTATGTATCCATGCACAAGAAGCGAACCACCTTTTCGCCCATTCGTTGTTTCATTGTAAGGACACGACAGCCGGTCAACGCTTTGGTCAACGCCGTGGCACACACCGTCAGCTGCAAGTTAAAGCTCAAGGGTAGCACCTAGCACACCCTGCACACCACCTTTTGCAACAGGCAAAAGCAGAACATGAAATGACTCGGGGGACGTCTTTTCGTGCGGAAAGGAACCCGGCAAAAGAAAGAACCATGACACCTCAGTTGCCTTCCATGCACCATCACGACCTACATGAAAGGAGTTAGCCACCACTGTAGCAGTATTCCGTACACATCTTCCGCTCCTCACCTAGCCTTCAGGGCACCCCCAAAAGGCCAAAGACACACCTATTCAGCCTTATATGCTCGCATCCTTTTGAACACACAACACAAGAGCTAGTACGCACGCAAGGAGTTGCAAAGCGACGTTTAGGAACCACCCAAGGACGACCTGCAATGCTGCAAAACCATGCCAAGGGCTCTCACACCTTCCCTGCTCCTTTACCTGCCTTCGCCACCACGGAATTCCCCGTATTCCGCATGCTCCATACATGCGTCTCTAAGCACATCTATAAAACCAGAACCTCATCCCCTTCCGTCATTTCTTTTTACTCCGCCCTTGGTTCCCCTCCTCACCCAGCTGATGCTTCACCCTTCATGCAACCTGCCTACATTCCTGCCTGCCTACATGCACCAACCGGACCCGCTTGCATGCCACCATACAAGGGTGGCGTTTGCAAGAACACAAAACATGCCGTCTTTGACCTCGCACCGTCGTAGCTACCATGATGAGGATAATGCACCAAAGTACAAACAAGCAGCCCAAAAGAGGGGTCTCTAAGATCTTAAAACAACCCATGGAAGCACGGCATCTAGACAGCTGCACCGGACCCAGGGACCCACACAGTTGTTTGCCCAAGGCCCCCCATTCTGCGGCCGCTCCGTAGCCCCCGCAGCGGCTCCACAGCCCACCGTCCCACCGTGCGTGAGATCCAGCCGCAAAGGGGAGCTGAAGCTGTGCTTACGTGCAGCGCCTGGGAAAGCGATAGGCACGATAGGGGCGCTGTCCAGCAGAAACCAGATGGCCGTTGCCCTATCGTTCCTGCTGCTGCTGCTGCTGCTGAGATAGGCGGGGCCCCTCCCAAAGTACTCCGCATTCCAGCCGCTTCCAACGTTCAGCAATGCGGCTGTCGCACCTCCTCTGCTGCCGCTTACCCTGCCCCTGCCCCTGCTGTCGCCCCTGCCCCTGCTGCTGCTGTGCCCACCACCACTGCCGCAGCAGCAGCAGCCGTGTCAGCGTAGTCCGGGCTGCCCGCCATCGGGAAGGCCGCTGCCGCCGATGCTGCTGGCCGTGTTCTGCCGTTCCGCCACCACTTCCACTGCCAGTGCTACTACGCCTCACAGCTTCCTGCTTGCTGCTGCTGCTCTGCTAGTCCTGCCGCCTCCGCGCTTGTGCCTCCCGAAGCACGCCACATCGGTCCCACCAGGCCTGCACAGCCGGGCTGCCCCTCTCCCATGCTGCCCCTCTCCCATGCGCCCCCCCTTCACCAGCCCCACCAACCCTCTCACAGCCGCGTGCCGTGCACCAGGTAGAGGCAGTTGTGCAGGTCCACATCGAATCGGTCCTCCAGCTGACCCGACAGGATCACCTCAGCGTGCCAACCTGCAGGGGTGGGTGGGATATGAGTGTGCATGTGCGGTTGGGGCGGGAGGAGGCAGCGGATTGGGGTTGTGTTGTTCGACTCTTCGTCTTTCTCCTTTTTCATCACATTCCATCTCATCGCCCCCGCTTCCCTCTTCCCATCCGCTCCTCCACACCCACCCGCCCACTCCCCCCCCCTCACCCGCTGCGCAAATGCGGTTCAGCACAATCCCCGGCGGCTCAAACTCCTCCACCAGGTGGTGGCTGGTGTGCCCGTGCCGCCGCAGCAGGTCGCGCAGCTTCACATCGCTCAGACTGGCCACCAGGCGCGACCCGGGCGCGCAGTGGGCGGCCATGGCGGCGAACATGGCGGACACGTGCGAGGGCAGCATGTACTCAACGACGTCCTCAACCTGGGGGCACATAGGGATACATAGTCCGCATTAGGCTGGTGTTTTAGGATTGCGTTTTAGGATTTAGTCAACCCCTTCCGCCGGGGAGAATAGATAAACTGAGCCGCGGAAACACTGACCCTGAGCCTGACCGGGGGGAAGGGTGCCAGGGGGACAGGTGCGTAACGGCGAGTGAGGGCTGGCACAGAAGCAGGTGAGGCAGGGGCAGGTGATCAAGATTGGTCTGTGCGGCCACACACCGCCAAACATGGTTGTGACACCCTTGGGGTAGGGCGTAAGGGCAAAGCCTGCCTACCTCACTCCACCTGCCAATCCCCATTCTTTTCAAGTTCCAACCCTGCCCCTCACCCTTCCCCGCCCCTCTCGCTCCCCTCTCACCAGCCACAACGTGGGCTTCCCCGGGTCGTACCCCACCAGCTCCAACCGCCGCAGCACCGAGCCCAGGTCGAACACGCCGCCCACAAGTGCCGTACGACCCGCCGAGGTGTCAATGTCACCAAGCGCGGCGCTCTTCTGCGCGTGTACGGTAGCGGAGTCGATCTCGAAGATCTTCATGCGTGCCGGCCAGCGGAGCCGCCAGGAGCGGGTGTCGAAGCCGCTGGCCACGTTGATGAGCTGTGAGGGCAGGGTGAGAGGGTGGAGGGAGGGAGGAAGGCAGGATGGTGGTGAGGGATGGAGGCATGAGGGCGGAGTGAAGGGAGGACTGGGGGCTAGGAAGTGGGGTTTGGGGGCGGATGCGGGATGCTCTAGTCGTCATTCGCAGAGCCCATGATCGCAAATTAACAAGTCCCATTCCCATTTCCACATCTCACTCTTCCAAAGTGCTGCGAACGGGTACCTATCAGAAAAGGGTGTTGACCTCCTGCATGTCGCACCATCACCTGCTCCACAGTTACCTCAGTAACCAGCTTGCCTCACCTGCAATACCCCGTCCTGATGAGCCCACCGAAGCAAACTCTCGTCAATGACGCTCGTCCGCACCGCAATCACCGCATTCAACAGCTCGTCCAACGGTTCCGAACACAACTGTCGCTCAACCGCCGGCGGCAGGCAACGGTCCAAAATGAGTCGTACATATGGATCCAGAATAGTGGCTACGCTGTGGATCCTGCGGCTGCGAAATCCAAGGAGCACTGCCAGCGTCGGAGAGCATTGACCACGGCTTCGCTCTCCACGGGATTTAGCATGGCCCAGATACGTTCAGGAGCAGAGTCGGAATCGCGCATACGGCTGCTGCTGCCGTTGCCGCCTGCAGCTAGCAAGCCATCGGCGCCATTGCGGCGAGCTGCACCGCCCTGGGTGGCGACATCGGCCATGATGGATGGATGATTGCAAACAGGTTTGGGCTGGACTGGAGTTTCAGACGGCGAGGAGGTCAACTTTTTACAAGTAAGATTCCCCGGCTGAGAAGGCGGCCCAGCACCGGGGCTCCATGGTCCTTCAGGGGCCCCGGAATGGCAGGGCCTGCAACATGGCAAGTCCGGCGGAAAGGAAAGGAACATGGTAAGTTAACGCAAACCCCACGCTACATGGAGGAAAGCTGTAGCTTCAGTGTGCGGATGAGAACGCAAATACCGGTAACATGCGCCCTGCAAGGTAGTCCGACTTGCAGGATGTGGCGGTTCGACAAGTTTGAAACCCTATGCCTGCTGAAAAACGTACCACGCTAAATGGGGAAGCGCCTGCACTGATGATGGCTACAGCGATGGTAGGTCATGCATAACTGCGCTGCGTGTTTCCGTTCGCCGCCAGCGACGCGAGTGTCACGTGTCCCTAGGCACTTGTGCAAGAAGTTCTGATACACCGCCTTAATTAGCTCATAACACATGTACTACGTGAAACTGGATGGGTAAATGAGGCACTGTGAGATTTACAAATGGGCGTTGGCGTCTGTGTCGGCGGGAAACAGGAAGATTCACAAATTCAAGACAGCGGACTCTCGCTAGTAGAAAAATGGTATCAAAAGCGCTCGGCGAACACTCAGTCGCCTGGCACCCCTTGCAGTTTGCTTGCCTCGACCTGGCCGTACCTAAGCCCGTACACAGTACAGTTGACCGTCGATTCTCCCAAAACCGCTTGCAGTAGCGCCGTAAGCGTTTTATGAAGGGCTCGTTCATTGCAGCCCCATAGCCTTTAATTGTTGCCCTTTAAGGACACCCGACCGTTGCTTTGAGCGAGCGTTGAGCCAATTGTGGAAGCGATGTCTTCAATTATTGATGCCTCAAAATTAGAAGAACTGCGACGCATATGTGGAGATGAGGTGGACGCACAGCTTCGGAAAGGCGGGGAATGGGGCCTTGACGAGGCAACCTTGCGGCGATGGCTCGTCGCTCGCAAAGGCGATGTTAAGGAGGCGGCAAGGGATCTTCGCGCACATGCCGCGTGGCGTGCTGAGTATGTCCCAAACGGCTGCATTTCCGAGGTAAGTTGAACTGGGAAGAGCAGATCGGCAGAATACTTCCTGTTCAATGCCCGTTAAGTTAATTTGCTTTTGGGCGTACGTTCTTAGACTCATCCTCCGCCATATCCACTATTCGCACCGTGCAGGAGGATGTACGCGACGACTTGGAGCAAGACAAGGGCTTCCTCCCCGGATACGATAAGGAAGGCAGGCCGGTGTGCGTCGTCATTGTCTCGCGCCACCAGGCGAAGGACGCGGAAGCAACCAAGCGGTTCATCACCTTCGCGCTTGACTGTGCAGCAGCCATGGGAGCCAAGACGCCGGGTTGGGACGGCAAGATGTCAGGAATTTTCGACTTACGAGGTATGGCAAGCCCGAAGGGTTGCCAAGTGGCTGAGACAAGCAAGCACACCATGGATGTTGCGTTAGTGGTAGGATGGTGGCAATGTGCTAGCTTGCTGCGACTTGTCAAACGCGAAAGTCCCTACAAATCCCCAAGCTCGAATTATCTCAACTGTTCTTAAAGGCGACAGCACCTCTTTCCCTGCTCCTCTCAAATTCATCTTCCTCCATTGTCGTCCATGCGCTAAAGGTCTCAAGAGCTCCAACCTGGACATCACCACCATGCGGAACGTGTTTGACCTGCTTCAGAACCACTATCCAGAGCGGTGAGGAGGCGGGGTGAGGGAGGTAGCGGGTAGTTAGGGGAAGGGAATTAACAGAGCAGTGGGTAGGTTGGGTAAGTAATGGGGTGTCCATGGGAGGAGGGAGCGGTGAGCAGAGTCCCCAAGGGAGGGGGCCGCTAGCCGCTGCCACACCCCACCGCATCTACCTCACCAACACCACCATCCTCCTGTCTGCGTGTCTGGCGGTGGGGTGCCTCCGCTTGCAGGCTGCACAAGATGTGGATCTACTGCGCACCCGTCATCTTCTATGGCGCCTGGAAGCTGGTGGTGGGTGGGGGAAGAAAGAGGAACGAGTTTAAGCGCGGGGGTAAAAATAAGGAAACGGGGGCGGGAGGCATGCGAGCGGGATACAGATCGCTGAGAGGGACACAGAAGGCCAGACCGCTGCCCAGTCAAGACATGCTACCTCTGCCCTGTCGTGAGTTGGCTGAGCGGCATGCTCCTCTCCATCCCATCCCCACATCCCTATCCTCCCGTCCCTATCCCTCTCATCCCTTCTTCTTCCCCTTCTCCCCCTCTCCCCCAGCTGCCCTTCATCGACCCGGTCACACCGCCAAAAGGTGCAGTTCGTGTTCGAAAAGGACGCAGCGGAGCTCTTCCCAGCCGCCTTTGACCCCTCCGTGCTGCCCCCGGAGCTCATGACGGGCGGCACCGGGCGCTGGGTTCGCATTGATGAGCGGTACCGGCTGGTGAGGGCGGAGCAGGAGAGGCAGCAGCGGGAGCGCACGGTGCTAGAGCAGCAGCGGGAGAGGGAGCGGGCGGCGGCTGGTGGGGCGCAGAGGGAGGGGGAGGCGGCGGAGGTGGAGGCGGCGGCAGCGGCGGCAGCAGCTCGGGCTATTGAGGTAATTGCGTGAGGGAGCCGTCAAACGGTCAAACGACCCGTGCATGTGGATGTGTCCGGTACTGGGAGGTAGGGTTTGAGGCGTGTGTGAGGATGAGTTGACTCTTGGGCGTTGGGGCAGCAGCTAAGTAGCTAAATACGGTTGTGTGCTGCGGTTAATGCGGCGGGCGTGGAGGTGGTGCGGGTCAGGAGGGCAGCACGCGCATACATGCATGTGACCCATCACGGCCGAACATGTATGAAGTGTAAAGACCAACCGCTGCACGCATGCAACCGTGTTGCCGTACGCAGGTCCAGGTGTAGGAAGGGCGACAGTGGTGGGGCAGAGGGCAGTGGGGGTGGGGCGGTGTAGCGGAGCAAAGTGCGTGGCGAGGCGGGACGGGGCGGTTGAGCTGTCGAGCTGTTTGGGGAGACGGTAACACAGCTGCGCGGAGTTCATAGCTGTCCCGGTGTTCATAGGGAGGAACGCGCACTTGCACGGTTGCATGCGTGCTGTTCGGACGAGGTCTGTAGTTTGCATGCTCCCTTACTGGGCGAATTACAGGAGCAGCGTATTGGTAGGGTGAAGGGGCCTGTAGGAGATGTTTCTTGAGTGAGGGCAAGAGGGAGCTGACATCCAGGCATCAGAGGCGCTTGAATGCTGCTAGTTGCTGTTTTCGCTCACTCGATTTTTTCCATGGCGGGTACTGGTCGTACGTTAGTGACGCCCGTTTTCAGCAAGTGGCTCAAGCAGACGCCGCAACACATGATAACAACACATGACGGCATGGTACATAGCTGTTCGACTCTCTTCAATCCAAAAATTGTTGATGTGTTCTGTAGCTCTTCTCTGGTTGGGAATGTGACATGGGAATTGCGACAATTTGCAACGTGTCGGGGCTTCGCAATGTAACCTTGCGGCCCCCGCTGGTGACTTCAGAAACCTGCGTATGTGTGGGACCTATGTTTTTGGGTTTTTTTATAGGTTTGTAATACGATTGGGACTGGGATGTGCTTGTTGCCTTGGGAGGCAGTGGTGGTAATGGTAGGACTATGATGACATGCAGATATGACCCGTGGGTCACACGCGCAATGAAGGGCACGGTGACCTGCCCTGCGTTTACCCCGAGCTATTCCGGGCTCGTTGCATACGATACGAACTGCTGTATGGTATACAAACTGCTGTGCTATTCATGTTAACATGACTCGCATGGTTTCTTTGCGAGTTCTAGATGAATGAAAGGTGTGAAATTGGATGTTGGTATGCTTTGTACGACTCACTCCTAAACGCCCTGAGAGCCATAGAGGGGCTTCTGCTGCTGCTCGCACCTCAACAAGTCTAGGGTGCACGTACGTTTAGCCGGAGAACCATGGTGTTTGTTATTCCAGTGTGGAATGTTGCCGAGATAACGGTGGGTGGGGGAGAAAAGCCGAAGCACGTGTGCTTTTTTTCCGGACAAGCGAGGGGGGATGGAGCTTTCTACTCCAGTACGTCGCTGCTCGTCGCATTGCCATCTAATATGTACACTGTACTGCATTTCGCCGTACTTAATTTGCGGGTTGCCGTACGACCCTGACCAGTTTTCCGTTCAAAGCATCCGAGGACTGTGGTTGTAATGATGCTGGATTTAGTATTACAGTGGTGAATGAGTTTCAACGGTTACTGTTACAAAGCGTGCGCTTTCCCGAACGCTTACAACTTGTGGTGCAGGAGGGGACCAAAATCCCTCTCTTGGGTTGCGACATATGCATGGCGACCGCCCCTGCACGGTCCCCACGTTACCGTCGCCGCCGTGCACTTACACATGCCTACATGCATAACGCACTTCTCGTAAGCTATTTAGCTACCCTAGCCGCCATAGGGCAGAAAACTGGCGCAGTAGATTTTAAAATTGGCCCTTCCACAGAAAGCGTGCGGCTAGGAATGATGAGGGACAGACACTCAAACCGCAATCGCTCTTTTATTAGTGTCACGTGCGTTACTCGGCGGCATTTCCCTGTCGTACCATTCCGTGTCCCTCCGCCGCACCGTTAGTTAGGGGACCTAACATCCGGGATGCTTCCAGCCCCGATAAGCCGCCGCCGCTGAACGTGGCAAACCGAAGGGGCAATCCGCGATGCAATTCTTCCCGACGTGAAGGGCCCTCCCCCTCCCTTCAACGGCGCTTCATACATGCGTGTTGACGTCGTCTTTCCCGTCCCAAAAGCCTAGCTATGTAGGCATGCCGCTGCTCCTGCTGTTGCCGTGCGGGCCATGATAAGCCGCGCGCGGAAACAAGCAACAAACAAACATGCGTAGGCCACAAATGCGGGGGATCCAAACAACCAGACACCGAAAATTAAGCAACGAAGAAAGGAAACCGCTGCAACTAACATCACATCTCGGTATCAACTATCACCACCACTACCACCCAACCCCCACACAGCTATACGCTGCACGGCGCTCTTCATCAAAGCTATACCGCACCGTACGTGTCGCACGGAAAATTGCTGCCGATGCTGCTGCTGTTGGCGAAATGTCCCACGCCTTCACCGTAGCTAGAGCCCACCGCTACCCACCTTTCGTACTGTTTTTATTAGTAGGTCCGGGCACCGTTTGCGAAACCACTCCCATCCTTGTGCACGTCCTTCGACCTCCCAACCATGCCCCCACACCGTCTTGCACGCCCTCCTATAATTCACTCCTATATCCACCTTTACCATTCCTCCCATTCCTCCCGTTTCTCCCATTCCTCGCACCTGACCTATACACAGTCTCCTAAGCGTCCTAAGCACACGTCACGTACCCACTTCACAGTTTCCTAAACCGTACCAACAAAATCGGAACAACACCGGCTTCTCACTTAACTAACTTCCCCCCTCCACCAATTCCCCACTCCTCACCGCCCTCTTGAACATCCCTGGCTGGCATGGCTGGCATACCAGAATACGGCCGCCTCTTTCTCCGTTTGCCACCTTTATCATTCGGGCACCCTCCCTCCTCGCCTCAGTCATCGTCCTCCTCCTCTTCCACCGCCCCCCGCCCCCCGCGGAAATGCCATCCGCCGCCGCCTCCGCCAACACCGCCACCGCTCCCGCCATGCGGCCTGGAGCCGCCTCCGAAACCCGTCCCGTAAAACCCATGATGGAAGCCATTCGTCGCCCCATGTGACCCATGGGTCGCATGCGGCCCCTCTTCCTCATGCACCTGCGCGCTCGGGCCGCCGTGGTCACCGCTGCCGCCGGCACCGCTGAACATTCCGGAGAAGAAGCTTCCGCCGCCGCCACCGCCGCCCATGGGGTTGAATCTGCCGGCCTTGCCAGCGCCGCCGCTGCTGCTGCTGCCGGTGTTGCGTGCAGCCATGACGATACGCATGATGGCGTAGCCGACGGGGACTCCCGTGACGATGAGGGTAATGAGGGTTGCGCAGGTGAGGACGGTGAAGAGCACGCAGCAGGTGACTACGGCGCCGGTGACGAGGATTGCGAGGAGGCCTGCAGAGGAGTTGTGCGGGAAAGGGGAGGAAGGGAAGAGAAAAAAGGGAGGCAGAAGGACAAAGGGGACGTTAGAACAGGGCGGTCCGCAGGAGCCTGTTGTAATGTTGTGGTAGCTGTTTAATGTTACAGCAGATCTTTTGCCGGATTAGATCGACATAAGGGGAATGGGCCGCGAGAATCCGAGTGCTCGTTCTTCTCCTCGCGACGCGCTCGCATACGTTCAGCGCACAATCAGCACTGCCGACCATGTCCCAAAGCGTGAGGATTACGGCATCACAAATCACGTAACCTTTTCAACCGTTTCAAAGTATCCCCTATTGCGCAAAGGATGCGCGAAGGAGAAAAGAGCGCGACAACTTTCGCTCCAAACCGCTCGCGCGCGCGCCAACGCCATACAACGACATTCCTGCTCACCTCCAGCTGCCAGCATGCTGATGTATCCCGCAGTCACCACAAACGTGAAGGCCACCGCCGCAGTCCGGAGCTTGTTGGGCGAAAGCTCCCAAACGTTAAACGTTGTTGCCGGAGCTGAGGAGGACCCGCGCGGGAGCAGAACATCCGTCCAATCGTTCAAAGACCCAAAGCCGCTAAGAGGGCGATACGGCTGCACGGCTGTGGAGGAGGGCCCGTGGACATGACCAGGACCGTAGGGTCCATGTCTTCCTGCGCCGCCGTGGCGGTAAACTTCCAGCATGACGCCTGCTGCCGCCCTTGCTGAAAACTGCTACTTTTTAAATGCTAGTTGCTTTGATGGCTCGCAAAAAATCAAGGGCTGGTAGGAAAACGGGAGCCTTGTGCCTTGGAAAACACGTGTTCTGCTATCCTAGCGCTCCCAGCAGAGAAGAAGAGCCGAAGCGAAGAGCATAAGCTAGATCCTTGCTATTTTGATAACGTTTCGAGTGCCGTGAGCCTAAAATCCGGGTGAGCACACGCTTGTATGCCACGTCAGGGATCTAGGGCGTGCCAGGACTGATCTGAACAGGGTATGTTTAAAGCAAACAGCGTAAAGGTTCTATTTTAGACTTATTTGCCTAAAAGCAAGCCAATCCAAGCTAAGAGCGTAGGACCTCAACGCATTCGTACACTGCGTCTGCGTGACGAGATACTGGCGCCTTTTGCCAAGCAAAATTGCCACCCATGCAACACATGCCTTGAAGTCTTCGGAGTTTGTGCGCAAAGCACTGGGTAAGCAAAGGTTGCGCGATGGCGTGGCTAGGGAAAGAGGGTCCTTCAAGGGTCCTCGCCGCGACGCCCGGCTGCTTCACGTCTCGTTGCCAGCAGGGTACGTTTAAGAAGATAGCGATATGCGTTTTATGTCCGGTAGCACGGGCGCTTAAGGGTGTGGTGCACGGAAGAAGGCTCCTGTAGAGCACCAAAGAAATAATGGCGATAGCTGCCCTGCCTGCTGCCAGTGACAGCCTCGTAAACGCATACGTCCATGGGTTCCACCTTGCTTCTCATGCAAAGCGTTGAGATGGCGAGAGTATTGAGATGGCAGGGGCGAGGGTATTGAGGTGGCAGGGGCGAGGGTATTGAGGTGGCAGGGGCGAGGGTATTGAGGATGCAGGGGCGAGGGTATTGAGGTGGGAAGCTTACTCTGCATAGCACTAGTGACCCATGGGTCACTTCCCGTATGCTTTTAAGGGATGACAGAAACCGGCATGTCAAGCGCTCAGTTGCCCGCATCTTGTGTTTTGCGGCGCATAGGCAAGATCGACGCTTGCACCCATGGCGTGGCTGACACCTTCAACTGCTCACTGACACCTTCAACGGTTGAAGGTGTCAGCCACGCCATGGGTGCAAGCGTCGATCTTGCCTATGCGCCGCAAAACCGACCTATGGCACCCGCCGACCTATGGCACCCGCCGACCTATGGCACCCGCCGACCTATGGCACCCGCCGACCTATGGCACCCGCCGACCTATGGCACCCGCCGACCTATGGCACCCGCCGACCTATAGCACCCGCCGACCTATAGCACCCGCCGACCTATAGCACCCGCCGACCTATAGCACCCGCCGACCTATAGCACCCGCCGACCTATACCCCGACCTATAGCACCCGCCGACCTATAGCACCCGCCGACCTATAGCACCCGCCGACTATAGCACCCGCCGACCTATAGCACCCGCCGACCTATAGCACCCGCCGACCTATAGCACCCGCCGACCTATAGCACCCGCCGACCTATAGCACCCGCCGACCTATAGCACCCCTACTAGCACCCGCCGACCTATAGCACCGCCGACCTATAGCACCCGCCGACCTATAGCACCCGCCGACCTATAGCACCCGCCGACCTATAGCACCCGCCGACCTATAGCACCGGCCCGACCTATAGCACCCGCCGACCTATAGCACCCGCCGACCTATAGCACCCCGCCGACCTGTAGCACCCGCCGACCTGTAGCACCCGCCGACCCTGGCACCCGCCGACCTGGCACCCGCCGACCTATGGCACCCGTCGACCTATGGCGCCCGCCGACCTGGCACCCGCCGACCTGGCACCCGCCGACCTGGCACCCGCCGACCTGGCACCCGCCGACCTGGCACCCGCCGACCTAGCACCCGCCGACCTGGCACCCGCCGACCCTAGCACCCGCCGACCTGGCACCCTCGCCGACCTAGCACCCGCCGACCTGGCACTCACCGACCTGGCACCCGCCGACCTAGCACCCGCCGACCTAGCACCCGCCGACCTGGCACCCGCCGACCTGGCACCCGCCGACCTGGCACCCGCCGACCTATAGCACCCGCCGACCTATAGCACCCGCCGACCTGGCACCCGCCGACCTGGCACCCGCCGACCTGGCACCCGCCGACCTGGCACCCGCCGACCTAGCACCCGCCGACCTAGCACCCGCCGACCTGGCACCCGCCGACCTGGCACCCGCCGACCTAGCACCCGCCGACCTAGCACCCGCCGACCTAGCACCCGCCGACCTAGCACCCGCCGACCTAGCACCCGCCGACCTGGCACCCGCCGACCTGGCACCCGCCGACCTGGCACCCGCCGACCTGGCACCCGCCGACCTGGCACCCGCCGACCTGGCACCCGCCGACCTAGCACCCGCCGACCTGGCACCCGCCGACCTGGCACCCGCCGACCTAGCACCCGCCGACCTGGCACCCGCCGACCAATAGCACCCGCCGACCTGGCACCCGCCGACCAATAGCACCCGCCGACCTGGCACCCGCCGACCT